AAGTCAAACTTGAAGAATTCCTCAACTGTTATGAAAATACAATTCAAATTTGGCAATTCTCAGAAATTCGAAGATGCCCAAAATGTGAGAAATCATAACTTACTTTTCAATATAATGCGGGTGGGTAGCAAAGAGTAGTCAATAATGCCAAACTTTATTTTCCCAAAAGATTGCTTACAGATTGATCAAATCGCACCGACGTTATGTATCATAGATTTTCCTTGTATCCTTGTACTTTTTCTTTTTTTTTTCTTAGGCATCTACAGATCATTTCCTGTCCTAAAGATCTGCTCTAACTCCTTTACAAATCGAAATTCTACAATGGTCGGTTGACATTCTCGTCTTTGAAACTTGACACGATTTCCAAAAATATCAACGTCATTTTGCTTTCTGTTGCAAAGACTGCCTAAGCTTTTCTATCTAAAGGATTCGTGTTTGTACGGAGTGTCAAAACAAAGAAGAACTCACATACATTTGTGTTTCAACTATTAGATAAATATCGTTCTATCCAGTAAAAACTCAAATCAAAATTATTTCTTCTGGACTTCCCATCTTGAACTGCTCAAGACAGGCATAAACCACTTTTCAAAATCAAGTACAAAAAAGTACCGATTTGTGAGACTTTTTCGCATACATATCTTCTACTCTTTTCCTACAGCTCACCATTTGATCAAAGTTACTTTTATTCAATGGCGAGCTGTAGGAAAAGATCTTTTTGAGTTCTTCAGATTCAAAAGGGTTTTCAGATAATTAACATAGATTGGTGAGAATCCTTTTATTAGAATTTTTATAGCTAAATCAAAGTGCATAAGGCATATTTTAGAAAAATAGCAAAGTGCTACTTTCATAATGGAGGCCGCAAGCCGTTGAGGTTCCCTTACATTCAGCTAAAAGCTGAAGAGTCACATTATTAGGAAAACTCTCATAGAATCTATCACCGGAAAGAGATTGTGAGCTGTTTATTTTATTCGTTTAAACTGTTGAATCGGCTAATACGGAGCAAAGCATGTGTGATTCTTGTAGATTAAGCTTACATATGTATGTAAAAGAACCCTTTTAGCGATGATCGTTTTCAGTTGCGTGACATCGCAGAAACTGCAGGAAGCAACATTTCAGTTCTTTCGCTATTAGTGGCGGTCCCAGGATTTCCGCCCGAGGGGGGGAGGGAGGGTCAAATATTTTCTTCAATTGAAGAAACCTCAAAAGTGAAGGAAAAGGAAGCGTAGCCCCAGCCACGCCCTCCAAAAAAATTTTACAAGGCTAATTTGAATTTTCAAAAAATTTTCAAAATTATTTTAATTATTCACGAGGAAAAACACGTCACTTGCACATTTTTAGAACTCATGTAAGTAAATTTCAAAAATTTTACGACCCATCCTCTGGCCCTCCGCCCCTCCGAATCGGTCCGCCACTGTCCACTGTATAGCCTGCATTTTAGATGAAAAGTTTGAAAAGCTTGTAAAATATTTTATTTATTTTTATTACATGTGTATAAAAATCTCCTATAAATTTTCAAATAGTTCGCTTCCTAGAAATTTTTTGGGAAAAGTGAGATTGTTTCTTAGCAGTGATTATTGAATTGCATTTTGATTCTTCAAGATTATAGTAGCATACGGATTAGCCAAAAAAAATTTTATTGAACAGCAATTACAGCTAAAAAAATAATGCTGATTATCTTTTGCAAAAAATTATTTGTATAAAGTTTCTCTTCCAATTATTTCCCGTTTCAGCAGCGCATCTTATGCAATGAATGCTCACGTCTCACGTTATTTCAGCGTTACGGACATTATAATCCACACAGAATGTTGATTAAACAGTGCGAAAGTGCTGTAAGCAGAGCTGTTCGCGGAAGCAGATAGATCGTTTATGCTTTTGGAAGGACGAAATAGAGTGGTCATTTCTTTTCGATTAGGTGCACAGGTCATAGGTGCTTCAAATGTCCCACCTCTTAAGACGTATGTAGCTATGCAAAAAGTTGAGAAAAAGAATGCATACTGGCGAAAAAAAAAACAAGTGGATTAATAATGGTTGCCAGCTTTCAATGCGAGCTTTCGCCCATTTTTCTATTTTTCTCCATTTGGAATCAAGAATATTGGAAGTCGTTTAGAAGAATGATGGTAGTGTAGCATGTGTACATTACAGTAAAACTTGACACAAGTACATAAACACAAACGCAAGTTACGATGATTTGTTGAGCGATTTGTGATAGTGTGCGGCATTGTAGTACTTTGTTTTTTTCAAAAGAAGCAAAATTTGTTCATTATATAGCGATCAAAATCATGATTCTTGCAACAGTTTTCCACCCTATCAGAGAGCAACAAAAAAACACTTTATTAGCATTAATGAGATAAATTTTAAATAATATATAAGGAATAAAGAGTTCGTTTGGCACTACGAAAGTTATTTGTTTGCGGAAAGAAGATATAGTGAATGCTGAAACTAATCCTTCTCTATTACATCCGGCAAAAATGCGAGCTTACACACTAAGATGATATTTTATGAGCAACCAAAGAGTAGAAAACTATAAATACAATTTAAGTTATTCTGATAATCAACGATAAGGGTTGGAAAAAAGACTGTCTCAAATGAAAACTGTAGAAAACAGCGAGATGAACATAAAATTCTATAAACACGACAACTACTCAAATTACCTCCTAGTTCTGAATGATCCTGACTAGACCCTCATAATATGCTGTCATATTCGGCACTTGATAGGTAAGTAGCAGTTTTGAGTACTTTTCTCGTTCTTCAGCAGCTTGAATATCAGCTAGAATCTCCTTCTGAGTCTTCTTCTTCGTCTCAGTGGGCTCAGTTCTCTCACTTGCTTGTGCTTCGTATTTCTGCCAGTTTTGGAACTCGGAAGTGGAAGGGCAGCTTCCATTTGGAGAGGGTTGACTGGCTCCTTCTTTGGCTGTGCTCTCTACGGATGTAGGTGACTTTTCGGTATCACAAACATCCTTACAACTTGCTGAGCTTGAAGATTCAAGCCTAGGAGCAAAGTAACGAATGTAGCCTACAAAGGCTAGAATAAAACCAGCGACAAGGAAGGGATGGACGACAGTGATGCAGAATGCAAAGATTAGTACCAGGAAGATGATGATCTCTTCGGAGTTCATACGAATTTCGCTCTCAGCGTTTTCCGAGCTGAATGAAAGTGCGCGCCTGTTCAGCGACAACGGATCTGCTCTGCAGTAAAAAAACCGCCTCCCATTGATCAATTTTTCCATACGAGTAAAAGTATGGATTTCTCATTGCTCATATATGGATAATTTACGGTGAAAAAAGTTCTTGCGTCTTACATTAGAGGAAGGAATGCAAGTACAGTGATAAATAGTGCAGAAGGGATTCTTGTCAAGCCAAAACTAGTAAGTTTGAATCTTCAGCCAAATCAATATAGCATAACAAATCGTCGGAATCTCTTACGAAATTGTTTCCAAGAAGATAACGCGCACATTACCCCGTAACTGACAAAATAACAGGATATTTCATGATATTCCCTCTATATTCGGAAATGCTTGTTTGCACGGTTGCGACATGTTTCGCGACAAAAACGTCGCAATATTGTAACTTCTTTCAGCAGTAGTTTATTATTTTACTAAAGTTATTATTTTACTACTTCGCACTAAAGATACACCATAACAGAGGAAAAGAACACAAGCAGATTATGACTACCTAGTCTAGACCCCACGAAGTCAATACGAAAGAGAGAATGAATTGAGAGCTCAAACTCGTCAGAATATACAGAACCGCTTGCCAAGTGATCAGCAAGTACAACGGAATGTAATAGATACCAGAACCTTGACTACTTCAAATTCATGATGATTGATTCAAGATGTATATTTTTTCAAGATTTGCGAATTCATCTTTGGAGTTCTGGCGGATTTCTGACTCAAGTATTGTTTAAAAAAAAGATAATTTTGAATGTATTCATCATGTTGAGTACTCTAAGTTTCCGCATATCTCATTTGACGAACTTCAAGCACAAAGAATAAATTTGGTAGGAGTAGTGTATTAATTTCGTGAGCATCTTTGATGCAGACTTTTTTCTCAGCTTTTCTCCTGGTGCCTAGTATTTCTCTACATGGTATTGGAGTCTTGAGTTCTACTGATTCTGCTTGGTCCTCGCAGTTGAAAAGTCGTAGATAGAATTTTATGCATTCAGTATGGAAAAACAAAGCAATGAAAGCCTTTTGTAGCAGTTTTCCTCCTTTTGTGTTTTAGTAGGTTTTTTTCCTATGATGAAATATTCTGAGGAAGCGACAACAAATAAAACAACAAACCGATTATGATGTATTTACAGTGACTATTCGAGCTGCTCTTCCTCTCACCAACTGTGCAATGCCATCTATTAATGACCGAGCAAGACTTTTCGCTAGAAACCTTCATTTCGCTTATGGAACTTGTCTGCGGCTTATGTTCAATTTTTTCGAATAAACTTATGGTTTAAATGAGCCTATGAAGTCCATGTCTCAAATTGATGGTAAAGTTCAAGTAACCCTTGGACCCAATCCTCAAACCGAATGTCTACCATATCCCGAGAGCTCCTTTAAATCGCGTGATGTTCTGAAAAAGAAGTCCAAAGCAGGACTGTCTACTGTCTACAAGCTCTTTCTTTGGCCTGACCGTTTTGTATGACGCTGTGAGATCCATGCGATTGTTTTTTTTTCTACTTGAGTTTGTATATTTCAAGGCAAATATGATATCATTTACTATTTCGGTAGGATTTACTCTTATCTGCTTTCTACTTGAGGTTGCAAATCACAACTTGTTGAATTGTCAGAATAGTTCACAAATTTCGTTTTATTTCATTCGTGACTTTAGTGCACAGTAATTACCAGAATAAAAAATACTCAATATCTACATAATATCGAAAAATACCTCTTCGTTATGTTGTTGATTAGATTCTCTTTCTATTATGCCATAATCGACAGAGGATTTCTGATTAGTAGCTGGCGTTAAAAATCACAGACAAACGTGGGATTTGAATAACTCTATTGAAAATCAGATCAATGACACCATGCACTGTACATCGAGTACCACGGAGGTTTCTTCATGAGTAGAAGTTCAGCAATTTTTGCTGTCTTATGATTTGTCCAGAAAGCTTTTGTCAGGAAGCTATTGAACGTCAGGATATGTTAGCTCTGAAAGCAGCATCATGGTGAATTTGGACAAAAAGAGTGAGCACTTGGGTTGTGATTGAAGCTGTCCGTGCCAGCGTCCCTCTAGCATAGCACCGGAACGTCGAGCGAATACGGGTGCGTCCACGTAGATTCCGGCACGACGCCGGCACTGCGCTGGAACGACGCTGGCACGAGGGCAACTTAGAAGGCTGTTTTAATCTACTGAGGAGGATTAGATCCCAGAGTTAGCAAACAATTAGCCAAAACTTGCATATTTGCCAGGACGAATTCATCGATTACTCCCAGCTTTTGCATATTCTTTACTTGAAGCAGGCAAGTTATGCGTTTGTGAAGAACCGCCTGAAAATCAGCCAGACATGGTTTTGAAGCCATTTTGCCGACAGATTTGAAAAAAAACAATCAAGAAACAATTGGCAGGATATGTTTATATGTATACAAGGCAAGTGTAAAGGCTGTCCATATTCATATGCTAACGAGCCTACTTTCTTCTTCTTCGCATATTTCCGTGTCAAATGCACCACTCAACACGGCATCGTTGAGTTCGTCATCGTCGACGCCCATCGCTCGTCGTCGCTTCCTAAATATAAATCATTATTTCCTAGTCATTGTGCTGATTTCCAATAATCAAAAGCGTTTCTCACCTTCTAACACTTTCTTTATAGATTTGGAAACATTTAGTTACAATAAAGCATCCTATGAACAAGATAACTCCTCCGGATAGGAATGTCAGCACCGCAAGGACCACTGACTCCAGATCCTGTCCGAATGACCGAAATATTTTACCAGGTGCTAAAGAAAAGTTGTCCGAAAGCCAGCCGAAACTTAAGTTAGTTTGATAGCTTACCTGGCTTGGGTGGCTTTGTCTCAATGTGCCAGTTCATTTCTCTCTTGCTGTTCTTCTACACATTCGTGCGATGTGCGCACAAGTTCTGAGATGAGCATTTTATAATGAGAACTGAGAATATCTTGAATATCGAAGTTCAAAACTGGATATATGCCCAAATGAGAGAAGTATGGTCTCTTCTTCACCACATAAATTAGTAAAAAAAAATCCGCACTACATTATTGTTGTCAAAATGTACATATAGTAAATTATTTGCGCAAGTTATTGGAGGCAGAAACTTTTCAAATTATTTGGTATCCATGTGCGTAATAATGCTATTTCAAGGAACCTATAGACTAGCTGAATTATAGTGAAAGCTAAATATGGTGTTCTTGCACCGCCGACAGCAATCGCGCGTAAATAATCGAGTGCGCGCTTCTTGGCCAATTTTTGCGCAAGCAAACCGCAAGCAAATTGTCAGCAATCACAAACAGCATTTGTTTTCGTACAAAAGCTGCGCAGCGGCATTATATTGCACATTATTGGTGGAATGAACACTGCACACTAGGAACACGGAAAACAAAAAATATTCCGATATTTGCTCGGTCTAAGCATTAGATTGGCATAAAAGTTCTTGCGTAATGCAAAGAAAATTCAACAACTTTTACTAAACTCGAATTCATCATTTTCCAACAAGATCAAATTTCCTTTACTTGTAAATAAAGGGGTGAAGAACGTCGAAGTTGAGCGGAATCTTGTAACTAACACAAATTCGAATTTTCAAGGAAATGCCCACAAGTTTATTTTCTCAGCTATGCGTTCTAGCGGATCGAGAGGGGGGGGGGGGGAAAGCGCCCCTCTCGAAAACGGTTCCTGAAATTTTTGAAATCTGCTCGACTATGTTATAAAATTGTGCAAGTGACATGTTTATTCTTGTAAATAATTTTTAAAAATTTTTAAACTTTTAAAAAAATTTATATTGGCCCTGTAAAACTAATTTTCGGGAGAAATGGCTACCGCCATGCCTCCTTTTTCTAGATAGGGGGTATGGGCCCGCAAAAATCTTGTGAAGCACCCCAAATAGCTTTTTAAAATGCGTGGCTTGCCACGCAACTTCATTTGAAAAAAGGTTTTTGCCTCCCCCTCCAGGACCGAAATTCTGGGGCCGCCACTGCATTATAGTAATCTGATGTACAGTTTACATCAGACTATCTACTCATCATCATCGAGAACATGCTTATTAAGTCTTGAAACAGGAAAAACCTTTTATTAGAAATTTTATTTCGTAAACGCATCAAGTGTATGTATCATAGTACATAAATTGATTCTCTTAAACGGTATAAAAATGTGTAGAAATTTGTTGAGTACTAAAGGTGGAACTGAATCAAATTGCAAAGGAAGCGAAAAAAAGTTGAAACCAGTGCGAGGAAGAAAAAGTGTGGGAGAAAGAAAAATAATGTGAAGTGGGAACTTTACAGCAATATAGAACACCTGTTTCAGCTATCAGTGATATTTTGCGATCTTCTTTCGAAGCGCGAGCTCGTAATTTTTGAGTTTCACACATTAAACACATAAAGCTGTCAGAGTAAAGAGTCTCTCACTAATTTTAATGTTGGTCTTTTTTCTGATAAAGTTCAAACTGGCTGAGTCTCTGAATAAGCTTGGGCCTGGGCTAAAATTTCACTTTCAAACGAGATAAAAACGATATACATAGATGAATATTTATATAGTTTGGGATCTAACCGATCACTGCAATCAGACATTTCTGAGATGGTTTTTTCAAGGCTGACTGCTAACCTCCTGAAATTTCAGCCTCTCTACTTAAACCTATATCTCTATTCATCTATTAGGACAGTCATAGTATGGCAAGTGATCTAAATACAAAAAAAAATGAGAATCATTTTGAGTAACATAACGATCATAACAAGTTGCTGCAGGCTATCACGGAACCTATCGACTTTAACAGCTGTTCGCAAAGTTCAAGGAATAAATAACTCTAACCACCCGCACAAACACCTAATACTTTACCTTCCACAAAATCTGAGAACTCAAGAAAATAAAGTAGTGATTGAGCATTTAGGTATCAGAAAAAAAAACTAATGTAAGCAGCATTGCACGAACAGAGCGGCAACCTATCGGATCAATGAACACATGTTGTTGGGAAGAGACGAGAGGTAAATATCTAAACCACATGTTCGGTCTGGTGCGACTTTGAGAAAAAAGTTTGGAAATTTCATTTATGAATTGTAAAGTTGTCTCGGAGATATCAGAAGAAAACACTGGAAAAGCTTTGTTTACAGCACAGGAGCAGCATATAATTTTGGGAGTTTAGGTGCTGTTCTAGTACGACTTCTTCAGTCTTATGAACATAATCATTTATTGAAGGGCACACTAAAATACAAATATCCCAATATATAAATGATATCTTTACATCATCTTCAACGCGTCCTAGAGGTGTGTTTTACGTGTTCCAAAATTTGCCTAAACACTTCAAGAAACTTGAAGCTTATCGAACATATTTTAAGTTGTTAGCTGTTGTTCTGTATCTAAAATGGCCGTTTTGAAAAGCATGTTTGATAAAAGCGACCCGTTCCATCGTCTGGACAACGAGATCCACAATAATGCCACTGAATTCGTGCATAGTTTTTTGTTTAAAAATCTTGCAGCTGCGAAAAAAAAATTTTCGTCAGCTGATACATTACAAGGGGTCCCAATCTGAGCGTCGCAGTGGCGCGGCTTGAGTCCTCGCGAGCCTTTTCGCTTGACCACTCGACGCGTTCGCGTACGTGTTTTGGGGCGTTTTCCCAAGCTCGATGCCTAAGGATATGGTATTTCCCACGCCTTAGGTATGGTACCGTATCCGCTAAGGGCGAACGCGGCGAGAGACCTAAGCGAGGCTGTCCGCGAGGACCTGAGCCGCGCCGACTGCGACACTCAGAATGGGATCCCCTGTACTACGGGATTCTGGTAATATTGCGAACATGCAAAATGCGGCGACCACCAATGGATAACGCAAAAAAAAAGAAGAGCTCTGACATAAGATCCAATGCAACTCATCTCGAACGCCGCTTGACGAAAAGCAGGAGAATCTCTGCCAGTAGAGTAACGAAGACAAAGTCTCAGGAAGTGCAGAAAACACCTTTGCAAATCTTACGACGGAACCGTGACTTCCCCCAGTTACAGACCAACTCCCTCCGCTCATTGGCGACCAGATTGCGGTGGACCACTATGTATTCTGAATGCTGAGGTCACCTCGGCCACGAGGACATCCACGTCCAAGATCAGTCCACATTCGCGCAAGAACTCCGTTCATCGTCCAATCATATAACTGGTGTAAATATGATGATCAATAATATGACTTCACCAGTGGCGGTAGATTTTCGTTGGAAGAGGAAAAAGGTTTCATTTTGAAAAGCACCCCCAAAGAGGTTTCAGAGAGTGTTAGCCACGCACTCTGAAACTTTTTTGGGGATGCTTTTCGAAATTTTCACGACAGATAACGCCAAAATTTTCAGGAAAAGGGGGCGCGGCGGCAGCCACGCCCCGAAAGAATTTTTTTTTACGAGGCTAATTTGAATTCTCAAAAGACTACAAAAATTGTTCTAATTATTTACTATTGTAAACAAGTCACTTGCAATTCTATAACCATGTAAGTGACTTTCAAAAATTTCGCTACCCATTCTCGGTCCTCCACTGCTTCATACATGTCTAAATAAGCTTACTCCCTTTCTATTTCGAAGAAAACTTTTCCGGAACTGGACTTGGGCTGACATAATGGGTGCTGAATACGTTCTAAGTGCTTTCGTTGATTGTTCTCGTTCGGCATGCGTTGTGCGCAAATAAATAATTATTTGGATTTTGTAGCTTCACGAGTAAAAGATCCATGATCAGTAGAGAACATGAAACATTCTCCTATTCAAGGGCAAACGAAAGGATCTTTGGAGGTGCACTATGCCTGTTGATCGTGCTGTACAAACTAGCTTGAAAAATTCTGATGAACAATTCTATAAATTGATTATACGGAGATTGTATTCCTATTCTGTCACGACAGACTGACATACTGACATGTGACAATCAGAATCTCTTCGGTATTTGTCATCTTCATCTGGCAAGGCATAGATGAATGTCGAGCAAACTGCTCTCAAACACAAAGGAGTATCCATGTTTTGGTGATTCATAAACGCACTAAAAAACGTTCCCTGAATCACGGACAACCGTCATCGACATTTACACAAAGCGGTAGCTGTTTCGCTGTGCGTTAAGACCTTTAAAAAATAAATAAACATGCAAATTCCATGTTCATTATACTGCGTACACCACAGACTATTGAAAGTTCGAATCATCACGATTCTATGGCACCGAGAGCGACATGATGATTTTTATTGGAATATCACGAAATAGGCGTAGCTCTCATACTTTCCGAGATACCCTGAAAGCAGTGACGTACCGAGAGGGGGGGGGGGAAATTTTTGAAAGTTCTTATATGTGTTATAAAAATGCTCAAGCGACTTATTTTTACTTGTAAACAATTAAAATAATTTTTAAAAATACAAATTAGCCTTGCAAAAAAATTTTTCGGGAGCGTGGCTGTCGCCACGTCCCCTTTTTCTGAAATTTCGGGGTCAGAGGCGCGAAATATTCTTGGGAATCCCAAAAAAAAATTTTCGGAGTGCGTGGTTGACGCCATGCACCTTCATTGGAAAAAAATCTTTGTCGCCCCCCCCCCCCCCTCCTCGAGCCGAAATCCTGGGTACGCCACTGCCTGAAAAGTATATTTGTGAATTGATGACAAAGTCATTACGGTCTGAAGAAAGTAGTACAAGAGATAGTAAAACAAGAGATTTTGGCGAATAAACTCAAACAGGAAATCTCTCGAAGTTTCTGCATAAATCATTAATCTTCTTCTCTCCAAGGCAAAATGACCTCTAATCGGACTGCCTTGAAGAAAAAATAAATTCATAAACTAAGCAAAAAGCTGTTTTATCATAGGAATCCAGAAGAACTTTTGAAACGGCAAAAGGTCGACGTTTATTTACATAACGGCTTCATGTATGTTTTCGCAATCTAAACAAGATGTCTTTGCATATATTACCTTATTGCGGATCGAGAATAATTCCATAAAAATTTGAAATACGTTTGTAAAGATTGCAGCCATTTCTTTCATCATTTCACGAGGCGCTGAAATTTTGGGAACCACAAAAAAATTGGGAGAGTGCGGCTAGCACTAGAGCAATAATAACTTTGAAATCCAAAAAATACAAACCAGTTGTAAAATATTTTTCAAAGGTGTGGCTGCTGCCACGTCCTTTCATGTGCAGACTTTCCGGTTCCTCTCAGAAAAATTTTTCTAGAACTTCTTTACCGGAAAAACTTCTATCCCTCCAAAACAATCACCGCCACCGGTTTAGCGGTGTATTTTCCTGTTCTACCTGATAAAATGGATTCTTGAGGACAAAATCTCGCATTTTCAGGCAGTGTCAAGTCGAGTAACACTTGGCCAGTGTGGACCGTCCGTCAGAGCACTGACGGTCGGAATTTATTTGTAAAGAAATTTTTTCGAGTGGGACAAAAACTCTGCACATGAAAGGGCGTGACGGTCCACTGAAAAACTTCACAAATTTAGCTTCAATTTTTTTCAATTTCAAGGATTATCTCACTCTTTAGCAAGCGCAAACATCACCTTTGCGATTTTATAACCCATGTTTAGACGTGACGTATGGCATTGAATTGTTATTTTTTGTCATTTTTCATCATCTTTAAATTACAGCACAATGCTTTATCTCCTTCATTAACGTTTCTAGTTATCCAATGATTTCTATGTATGGTTTTTTCCTTTGATTCCTTTTTTCCTTCTTCCTCCCGGAAGAAGTACAGGCTTGCTTAAACCGTGCAAAGATCTAGAATTTGGCATATTTTTTCCAGATTGCCACAACACTTGATGACTGCTTTACTCGTATTTTTACAACAACTGCTTAGTCTGAACTTATGGTAGTTTATTATAAGAGCGTTAACTCTGATGTCCAACAGCGTAAAATTTTGAAACTTTTTAATAACAAGTAATGAATCATTCAAGCTGAGAAAATTTTCATACGCATGCTGTATGTGCACAGATGATGCAGATAATAATTCAGTATTTACACAGACATTACAAATAATATGTATATGTTCAGCTTTTAGAAGCTCAAGAGATCAAAGAAATTCTCTCAGTGTAACGAAATAAATTAAGCCTCATAGTACTACCTATTTACTATGACTACATTTTTTACGAATGTTTTTTTGAAGGATCCCTGTTCCATATTCAGATAAACTGGGTTTCTGCATGACGGTTGCATATAAGGGAAGTTTTGATATTCCCAAGGCCTCAAAAGCCAAATGATTTTGCTGTCTCTTAAGATTTTGCAACTTATAAGGAAGGGATACCACATCCCAGTGGTGAACCGGAACGATAGGCACATCATCAGATGCGCCTTGATGAGCTGATTTCAAATTCAGCTTCCATATCTGCTAAGCTGTTATCTTAAAGAAGTTAGGAGCGTTTGAATGTCCAAATCTGACAAATATTCAGTGCCACATCTTAAGAACTACTTATTCAAAATTACTCATTTAAGTGTTCGTGCATGTGTGCATTCACTGTAGTCAATGGAGTCAAAACCACGCCAATTAATCACTTCTAAGCAGGTTTTCAAAGCATATTATGCATCAAAACCCCAATAACTTAATAAGTTTAACGCCCATAGCTTCTTCTAGAGAAGCGCTTAGCAGATAAGAAAAGTAGGTTTGGAATCACCTCATCAAGACTCATCTACTGATATGCACATCATTTCGTTTCGCCACTGCGATCTGGTATCCTTCCCATGCTAGAAACTCTTTGCCCATAGACCATTGCACCAATATTACCGATATATTAAAACGAAACTGGCCAGACGATTTCTATTCAACGAGAAAATTTGATCGTTTACCTCACCATCCAGGAGGATTCGGTTTAGAACCGCTGTCGCTCAGGTAACACTTGGGAAACTAAGCCAAGGCGAATGCGCGCGCAAAAAAAAAACCCTGCTTAGATGGAAGAAATTTCCTGCAACCGTGCATACTTCGAATGTCGGATTCTTAGTCTGAAAGCGAGTAGAGCGATTCACTATTTTGCCGAATGCGATATAGCAAAGTTCTGTGTGTGCATAACCCGATTTAATGTGTCACTGAGGCGGCGGTGCGCTGTCTGGAATCAATCGATATCGCTGTCGTTCGGTCTGCTCGCACCCCCCATCCCTCAACGGACGGACGGGTCATCTCGACACAATTGCGCTATTGCGCACTGCATTTTGCTATGAATATCACTCATTCTTGGATGAGACTGTAGTGTAAGTGCTATTACTTGTTTAGGGATGGTTGAGGGGGTTGACGTGACAGATGGTGACACTTTCACTGAGTTTATAGCCGGAGGGCATTATGTAAACATTGAAATTTCATGATTTTCAGCCTCCACTACTCAATAGATGAAAGTATTGTCCTTGTGGACAGTTCGGCATCGTTGCTCTGCGCCGTCAAATCCACCAAGCCAACGTGATGGCGATGGTCAAGTATTGGGGTGACGAGAAACACGTGGTACGATTATCCTATCATATCTTACTTTTACTTTCTCCTTTTGTTTTTTTTTCGTTAATTTTACAATAACAATCCACATTTTTATGCACATGTTTTCCATTAAGGAAAACTGTTGCAATTTCCTTGTGTTTCGATCCTGTTTCATGATATATTCCGTAAATGCAGATGCTTTTGCCATAGTTTCTTCTAGATAGCAACAAATAATACGAAAGCCTAGAAACTTTGTTTATGAATAGGATATGCCAAAGCAGTTTTTGGTTTCACCATTGCGGGAAATAAACACATTCTTCTATCATTTCTTCGAAGGGTATTAGTTTTCATAAAGAGAAGTATACAATTGAGTTTCAAACTACTCTCTATCTCAAATAACATGCGACCCAATGCGCTACGGGTAATTTTGGTTTTTACCAAGGTATTAGCTAAAACTAATGCAAATATAATCCGGTGTCCTTCACTCGTGATTATGCTGTTTTCCAGCTGTGACTGGTATGTAGTTTTCGTTGGCTCCGTTTTTTTCTGCATTGTGATGCTTTGAAATCTGGAACAGATTCGATCCAGTCAACTGGAGCTGATGCGGGTGAAAAAGCCAAAGCAAAACTGGATCAGTTACACTTCGTATCGTTGTAATAAGAGATTCTTATCTGTTTTCTTTGAATCGAAAACCAGTAAAATCGACTTATTTGAGCAACAGCAGATTGTATTAAACATTTACTTCGCCTGAGCACAAAATAATACTAGCATTAGGATAAATATGGATAATCCTCCATGTGTTAACATTCTGGAGTATGATTGAGGACCACTCGATTCTTACGGAATTTGACTTATATTTTTTGCACCGGAGGTTTCTTTTATTCTAGATCGTAGTGATGTTCTTTTTGTTCAGTTTTATATCTCGTCAGTTTTTCACTTATGATTTTAGATCGTGAACGTTTTCTTTCATTCTGTAAACCATATATCGTTAAAGCTAGTCCAAAGGTTCGTATTAGATTAATGGTCATCAGTTCTTTTCTGCTAAAAACTAGTGTTATCATGCAGCCGCCGTTTTCGCTCTCTTGACCTTCAATCTATCGCAACGACTTTGGTTTGAATGATAGATATTAATAGGGATTTGTATATTCAGTTTACAGCATATCTGTGTCTTAAACGAATTGAGAAACATGTGTTCAGTGATCAAAGTTTTCGTTAGGTAATACTGCACCATTTCATTTTTCCGGCTGTCCCCTTTAGATTTTTTCAGTTTTAGTTTAGTTTCTGGTGCTTTCATTGCTGCGCATCTTATTAGCATTGCCCGTCGTACCTGGTTGTAGTCTTAAAATTTTTTTGCACAAATAACATACGGTTTACTAAGTTTTCAACGTTAGGTTTGAAGTACAATCCGAATTCTCGGAATCGTATGGTAAAACTTTGCTGATGGATGTATTTCCAGGATGCTGTGTATGCGGTATATTTGAAGAAGGTTAGGTACGTCCCTCCTCCAGGATATGACGGCGTTCCGGTTTGTGTTAAAGAGCCACGTTTGATTTGTAGAAAATCTTTGAGGTTTCTAGAGATACCGTGCCATCGATCCTGACCGGCCCCAGCTCCAGTGCCCATGCCCGGGATCCGATCATCTTCAGTGGGAGAGTGTCAAGGAACGCGTAATCAAAGCAGGGACCATAGAAAAGCTTGTAGTGCGTTCAATTCTCCTTTTTATTTTTATATAGTAACTTCGCATTACATTCTCACCAAAGTTTCTATAGGAATGCCTCGTCAGTGCTGATGGCACTATGGATTCGCGGCACTTTAATGTTTTCTTTGCCACCTACAGAGCGTTTGCAGAGCCGATAAATGTACTGGACAGGTGTGCAAATTCCTGACTAATTACGTCAACTGCTTACAAATTTACATTTGCAAGCTGTTGCTCATTTGCACTGGTGCTGTTTACTCACCACTTTCCAGGTTGTTACGTCGCTACGAGTCGCTTGAGAATGAAGTGAATTCGAGTACATCCGCTCTTGTTATACAAAAGTAGGTTTTTTTTTTCTGTCTATGCCATATATGATGCAATATGATGTGAATCTTAGCTCCATCCGATCGATACTAATCTGTTGGTTGGACATGTACCCAGAAGACTTTTACGATCCTGATTGTGACTTCTCCATGCTCACCAATTTGCTGGATTTCGGGCAGCGCAGCCGCTTGTCAGATCTGCGAGCGAAGTCGAGGAAGCTTTTGGAGCGCTTCAAGCATATTCAGGAAGAAGGCGGGATGATAGGTATGCGATTTCCCTGTAGCACAATCTTATGCGTTCGATATTCCTAAAATCCTAGCCGCACTTCCCTCTTTGGATCAACTTGCCTCTGCCTTTGGCTACGATGCATCGGAGTACTCCAGGAATCCTCAGGAAAGGTAGTGTAAGATTTGCGTTTTGGATCTTAAAGTCAACTGCTGACCAACAATTATGTTGCGTCTACTTGCAGAGTAAAAATGTTCGACGTTGGGAGCGAGAATTGCGTGCAAATTGCTGAGCAGCTGACGTTTTGGGATGCGGTAAGTTCTTTTTCACTATGGCATCCCTTTGCAGCAGCCCAACTTTTCTTACTCGATATATTGCTACACATCACAGGAGCTCTTCCGTGAACTCATTATCCATCAGTGCCAAGGGTGTGTATGGTCGAAAAGGCACAGGCTACCGAATGAGAAAGTGTACACCGTCAAAGCAACCATAGATCAGGTATCAAATTATAAGTCATGATCAAGATGGGTTCATTTTACTGTGAGTATTGCTATGGGATTGCACTACTTTTCAGACAGTCATTTGTTTATTGAAATTCAACCAGTTTTCTTTTTGATTTTTGGCATTTGTTCACTTAATGCAGGATCTGCTGCTTGTCAAACGTTTTTCATCATCCTGTTCGAGGCGAAACTTTTATCTATGTCAGTTTCTTGCCCGTCAGCGTTGATCAGCTGACAATTTACTTGGCACAATGTTTGCTTTTTGACCGAGACCGATTGCTAAATGTGGTCACCTTTATGCATGTGAAAATTAATATTAGGAAATTCTTGCAAAATTGAGATGAGGGATATGTGAGATTTTAAGCTTTGATGCAGATAACTTATTCTTACTATAATGTTGTGTTGATGCGATAAATTTCATAAAAAATCATAACGAAAGATCATAGAATCAAAACTGTCTACTTATCTGTGAACGCTTGCGAATCGTTCATTGCATAATCGTTCTCAGTCTTGCTATTTCGAAATACTCTATATGACAGTTATCTGGCTTGCCAGATTGTTATCAGCATCAAACAAAAGGATTATGAGATGCAAGGTAAACTGCGATCTTACGAAATTCTTCTCAGTCAAAATGCACCGCGTTCCGCCGTATAATCGGAAAAGAAAAGTGTCTTTAGGGGTCAGTTCACCAAAATTCTTGTTTCAGTTCAATGCGGTTTCGCAACGGGTCATGACAAGTATCGTACTGCCAGATTGTCGGCCGGATTTCCGAGCCAAGATAATAGCGAAATGGATTGACATCGCCAGGGTAAGCTTCCTTATGCTGTTGCCTGACTACATTAGGTTGGAATTAGCTTGCAACAAAAATTCGCACGAAGAATGCTCAAGGCCTCGGAAAGAGTTCATGCGGTTTCATCGCCTCGCGATCCTCCAACAAGACAACAGTTACGAGTCTGTTGCATGCTGAACATCTTGCATGTCTGATAGCTTTCCGACGTGACTGATCGTGACTAACTACTACAATCGAGATGCAATATGATCGGCATGTAATGGACTCGTAACTGTTTTCTTGTTTGGAAAATCTGAATCTGCCCAAGGCCTGACGCTTAGATTATGTCATATGTCTTAAATCGTTCAAATTATATAGTTATTTTTCATAAGAGATTTGTTTAGAAGAGATTGAGTAGTCGAATAAGGATGTTGCTTTCAAAGTATTCTTGAAACGAGAGATTAACATAAGTTCTTCACAGAAAGATCAGATCAATTCGACATCAAAACCTTAGCATTTTCTGAAAGAATTCAGTTTTAATGCAGGCGTTGTGTTCCAACCTAATAGTAGGTGGGGTATCACAACAGTCAGTTAAACAGTATAACTTCTATGTGTCTAGGAGCTTCGGGCATTGAAGAACTTTTCGTCATTGAAGGCGGTACTATCGAGTTTGCAGTCCGAGCCAGTGCACCGATTGAAATCCGTATGGGCTCTCGTTCCAAGGTACGGTTGTGTCGTTTCGTGTGGAAACGCTCCCTCAAAATCCGTAGGTTGTGTGAATTCTTAGAGCTCAGATGCTTGCTGTGACGTGGAATGTTACAAGGCAGATTCTTACAAAATGGAGCTTTGGCTTAGTATGCGGCAATGTACTTCTTCAGTCGATCAATGGCGCAGTTCCGCGATCTTTCCGCTATCTACGACATGGACGAAGAGGGTGACGAACGGAACGCTCGACGTATACTGGAGCAGGTTGGAAATGGGTTTGGTAGAAATCGTAGAAGATGACTGGGTCGAGGAGCTTGACACCGTGGTTTTTGCGGTTTTGTTTAACCCAGTTCTTTACTTCGCTTTTGGTAAACAGTCACAGCTATCCAATTTCTAGGAAGGAACGGCCAAGAGTTCGCCGCTGAGACGACCGCAACTCGTTCAGAACTGTCGACGTACGAAAAGTGATGTGAATCTAGCTGAGTGTCAGGGTACTGTGCCTTACCTCGGGTCGTTTCTCACTGATTTGACCATGATTGACCAGGGAACGCAGGATTTCACTGAAGGTACTTTGCTGTTCTGATGCTCTAGATGGCCTCTTCTGCTGACGTTGTAAACGAGTGCTAATTCTAGAGGTTGTGCCAGATTTACTGGCATCAAATAGGTTGGCGAAGTACTGTAATAAAACCTTAAGTCTTTTATGTCTAGTTTGATGGGGTTTCGAGCCTCCATTCTCTACAGCGGGTACTAAAAGTTGATATGCACTCTTTGTTCGTTAAGATTTGCTCCAATGTCTATAGCTAGTTTTGCGTACCACTCTGTAGAGCTGGATTCATAAATTTACACTATCGAGCGAGTCTCAATAATGATGGAATTACGGTGGGAAGGTCCTGCATATGCCGCCACTATGAAACAGCTGTCGTTTCGAAAAACTTCAAGAATAAGTAAAATTTGAAATCTTGTGCTGCAGATTTTCAACGCACGACGATCCCAGTACTTGATTTTGTACAGGATTGTAAATTTCAATGGTGTAGTCAGTTCTGAAAATTACGTACTCTCTTTCGCGTGGGAACTACGTATGCGCAACGCAAGGGCCCTGCGTGCGGACCTATGGCTCTCAAAGATGTGAAAGTATCTTCGAAGTTGCCGTGGTCGGTGTCGCTCTGTACTGCATATGAAAACAGATTTACAAAATATTATAGGGCATTCGGAAAATCGTGACGATGGCGCGACCGCGCGCAGCACGCACTCACTCCCAATTCTTGTTTTCACTCTCTACTCAAATAGTTTTTCTGCTTACATATGATAGTATTCAGGCACTGGGAGTGACTGAGCTTAGCGTTGAGGTGTTGCCTTTTGTATGGGTGTTTTATCCTTCTATGTGCGTAAAGACCGCAGTCAACTCGTCACGATTTCAAAAATGGACCTACCTGAAGGTTGAAAAACTAGCAAAACCGATATGAGAATAGCAGTGTAGAACGTATATGGAACACCCAAATATGTCCCTTACGAGCGATTTGAGTCCCTTCGGATTAGGCACAGAATGGAGACTTCCTTTTTTACTACTGTGAAGTTGGGATTGGGATCTAGGAACAAGGGTAACTTTGAAGCAGTTTTAAGGCGAGGCTAGATAATCTTTTGGTACATCTCCTGCCAAGCACAGCTCGTTGGGGCTGTGTTTTGCACATTTTCTCGCATGCTATGACAGGCCATAACAGAGTTATACCCTTTTGTAGTAGAGGAACACGTCAAGTTGTGCTTGATGAAGCTCATGTCGTTCTGTTTGTTGCGAAACGCAGTATTTTCTGTTTGCGTTAAATGCTTCTTGTTTTGAAAACTAACCAGGCTTCCAAGTCCATATTCAACCAATTCAGTTCTGCTAGAATGCAGTAGAGCTCATATCAAATCTTCATTAGATAGCAACACATTGTTTCTATTTGTTTCTAGCTCAATAGTGCGATTTACATGAGTGATCAGTTCAAACTGATCATTTCAGCCATCTTAAGAAGCTCCGTATAGGTAACAGAAACAATAATAAAATGATTTCAGACGGTCTTATCAATTTTGAGAAGCGCCGCAAGGAGTTTGAAGTCTTGGCAAAGTTGCGGCTCTTCCAGTCAGCTGCTCGAGCTTACCATATTCCTATGGATCGTGTATTTTGTGCATGGTTCCACTTCTTACCCTGCTTGTCTGAAAAAGAGTGGTGGGTTAATGCTTATTCTTTGAAGACATCGAATGCTTTCTGGAAGAAGTTATATTTAACAAATTCTTACAGTTTTAACCGTTCTTTGGAAATAGAGCAGTCGACAGTGGTGTCAACGCCCGACCTTAATTCGCGTCATAACACTTCGCAATCAAATGGCAACTCAAATGTGTTGGCAAAAAGGTTCGTTTGCTGTGCGTTTACACATCAGTGCTTTCTTCATTCTAAAAACTGCAAACGCGAAGAAGGCGGCAAAGAACAAGAGGCGTTGTTCTGTCGCTTTGAAAAAAATTGACATCCAGCGAATCTTTGCTATATATGCATCATTCCCGTGCGTAAGCAATCATTACCCACATTTTTCTTCCCTTTTTCTTGTGAGAACGCTATATAAAATGTTGGTTTCGCGGCAGTGCGCGGTAACCTGCGAGATTTTTACGAAGTTTGCGTCTGAAGCACATTTTCAAAGCAAAGCTTTCACCGCCGTTTTGTTTGTCTTCAACGACTTTTTTTTTCGAAAACTGCTTATAGTGAAAGAATCTAGATTCACATAGCACGTGCGATGTTTATCTACATATCTCGCAGTAACATCAGAACGGTTGAAACGCGCAAATGGTCCATCTTTTTGTTTTCTAGTGTTTGCCACGGCAAAACTTGACTGCACAGATTTGCGCGAGAAAATGCTGCTACAAGTAGTAGGCACGTCCTTGAGCGGTGTCACTGCTCAGTTTCGTTGACGATCAATTGAATGAGCATTGTGAGAAAAAAACGGACATTGACGCCCATCCAAGGCCGATCTGCTGCACATTCTTCACGATCGCGTCTTGGTCGGGCATCCAGCACGAATTTCGCCGCTGGCTAGAAGAAGCTGTTATTCAAATAGCAATCTTGATTGCCTTATCTAAGTCTTCCGTTCCAGCAACACACTCGCTCGACTTTTCAACACGTCGAAGCTCAGCGAAGATAGCAATGCGAATGTCTCCCATTCGCACTCTCACTCTCAGTCACAATCCAGCTACACAGATCCAGTCATTGAGCCTGGTGTAAGTGCGGCGTTATCCCCAATGGCGGTGCGACTCTCGAACGATAGCTGCACCAACTACGACGAGTGGATTGACGGTCGCGTTGACGGTGGACCTCCTGGGCCTGTAAGTCATTTGTAAATCGATGCTAGGTGCCAATTAACTTTCTATTCGTAGGTGTCGCTTTCGCGGACATTGTCACGGACTGCGCCAGGTGTCCAGTCGTTTACAGCGCCATCTACGCCAGCGAGCTCGGTGTCCTACAAAGGTGGAAGGTCTACATTTTATCAACAACGTATCGGTCCGTTGTTTTATTGGAGCACAACATACATAATTACGCCGTTTCGTCTTCTTGAACTATCATGCAAACAACTTGTTAAAATAAATAATATAATGCAATATTAGAGCGGCGTTGTGAGGTAAAAACTTCATTTGTAAACGTAGATGAATCTATAACGGAACGATAACGTCCATAAGTGCGAATAAGTAGATTGAGTAGATTCGGAATCTGAGAGTACTATTGTCATTCACATTTCATGAAGAGCTATTTGTTTAGGATGTGAGTTCTCACCGCTGGATGTGTTTCCTCATAAACGGGCGTATAGTGGCGACTCGACGCAGGAAGTTGAAGCCTCTATGTCAACTACCATGCCGGAATGTTCGGTATGAGTTTGTTATGCGACATTCTTGAAACTTCTTATTGAGAGAAATATAGATAGAAAGGTTCTTTTCTCGTTTATCTCTTCATACTTACTCTGCAGAAAGCATGTCACGACCATTCACGTATGGACTGTTGTGACATGCCAAGCTGTAGTGCTTCCGTGCCTGATCACATCAAACGAGGATTGCATCAGAGCGATGTTGGTGATCTCTACCATAGACCCGCTTTCAGACTAACATTGAGCACCTCTTTCTACACCAAGCGTTATATTATTATCTTTTACGTCTGGGATATTATAGGCTTCAACTTGTTCATCGTCATCGTATCAATCTTCTGGACCGCAGACGGACACAGGATCGTTCCATCTAGCTCGAGTAGGACTTGATGATGAGTTTCAGTCGCCTTCTGGTTGTGCCAATTATAAGTGCATCAAGGTAGACTTGGTTTGTATCACCCAATCCCTTCTCTAATTTGTTGTTGAAGGTGAAAAATGGTGACCGTATGAACGATCTGATAACTAGGGCACTGGAGAAGCACCTGATAGAGAGTCCAGAAGACGAATATTGCCTTGTACAACTTCTTCCAAATGGAGGTATGTTTCCATGTTGCCTTGTTTTCTTTTCGAGACTTATGTTGCAGCGCTTTTCTGTTATTTGCATCACTACAGGTGAATTTCAACTGCCGGATAAATGCAATCCGTACTATGCTGTGGCCCCGGATCCCACATCCCCCATGTTGAACCTTTTATTGCGGCAAGTTGAACCCTATCTTGATTTTCCATGTTGTATCAGGCTTACTGAATACTCTATGATCTAATGATATATGGTTTTAGAAAACGCAAAAATGCATCAAATGGTGACGGATCGTCACCGCAGGTTGGCCCTGCAACGAAAAAGCTCAACAAAATGAAAAGGTCGAACTTGTTAAGGTGGAGCAGTGGTTATCTGTAATTTACACTTTGCAATCATCATACTACTTATTGCTCCAAAAATGTTCAAATCACTTTTGTTAGCTAAGCGTTTTATTAGTTTGAATTTTGCTTTAAGTTTATCATAATTTTGCTTGAGATCGTGATAATAGCAATAATAGTCACTACTTCCCCAATACTGAGTATGATAACGAGGTCGGTAGTGACCTCGAGTGTCTTTCTTTTGACATCTTATTTCTTTTTTGTCTATGGTCATGTGTCATTCACTGTTTCGTGAATCCACTGCATGGGTATGTACTAGTTCATTATCTTTGTGATTTACATATGTATTATTTTGGTAATTCACATTTTTCCTTGAGAAAATCTCTTGTAATTTTTTAGAGAAAACTATTTGCTTATCTGTTTTATAAAATTCTATCGTTTCCACTTCGCCTGCAATCGATTTGCTCAATGCTGAACATGCACAGTTTTATCTTGGTCGAGAACTCTGTGTAGTATACTTAATGCACATATGATTATAGTAGCTCATTCGTATAATAATAATAAATTTGCCAAGGTTATGAGAGTAAACAGTAAGTTTGATCGATTGTTTACTTGTCTCCAAAGTGACGCTTCACGTAACAAATTAGTTCACTTCACCTTTGTTTGTTTCCACACACATCTAGTATTCAGTTTTTTTTGCTGCACAAGTACTGCTGAAGCTCGAGCAGTACCTAATGCACTGCTTGCTGTCTCTGGTTCATCTCGTGCGACTCGCACATTCAAATCATTCTGTGCCTTCACAGCCATCGAGGATATCTGAGTCTGAAAATGGCTTCACTCAAGAAAAATGTTATGGTATTTTCTGAAAAGACAAAAAATAATTTCTGCTGAACAGATCTCTTAGTATCGCTGAACAGATCTCCTCAAAATTCTGCCATCGAGAGACTCAATGACTAGGTATCAGTGGCGGACCGAAGGGAGTTGGGCGGAAGAGGCTCTTCCTAAAATTCTTTTGTAGAACATCACGCCATTCGCTTTTTTGAAAAAATTTTGTACCCCCTCCCCCATATCCCAAGTTTCTCCGACTGCCACTTCCGGAGATTGGATCAGAAGACGAAAGTTCAAAAATGATATTTTGTGGACAGCCGCGGTTATGCAACAACTACAAGTCCGACAGTATATGTTTCAGAAAAGTTTCGTAAAAAAATGTTTGCACACACATGTAAGCCCGTTGTGAGCCCCGACTTTTTACGCCAAAGTTGCTCTGTGGATTAATAGTGGCAGAACGAGAATGTATTTGGATACACCGGCAGGCTTCTGGGTGGAGGACATATGTCGCCGAATTTGGAAGAGTCCCGCGTGGATTCCCTGCAGGAACTCATGTCCGCGCATACATAAGGGTGCGTATTTATCACAAGACCGCGGGGACCGCCCTTTTCGGCGACATGTAGTCCTCTACCCCAAGCTTCTCACTATAACGCTGCCCGCTGATGAGTATTGTTTCCCTACCTTATAGATCAAATGTAGTTCTCGCATCTAAGTGTAAGAACCGGACAAAGTCAGGGGTAGAGGAACGAACGCCTCAATTAGGCATCGCCTTCGCGGGCTGCTGGTCCTTTCGTCCTACTGTTGTGCATCGTGTTGGGACCAGTGGTCCGCGGAGGCGGTGCCTAATTGAGGCGTTCGTTCCTCCACCCAAAGTCAGACATGTTGTAGTAGAGACTTGGTACGTTTTCATCTCCATAGTCCGCAAGGCAATTAAACCTTCATTCTTCATTTGTTCTTTTTTTTTCTATTCCTCTCAAATATGGCACATTTTAGAAAATTCAAACTCATAGAACGACGACACCGTGCGCAGGGTTTCCTAAGCGCTGCAGTTTATTGTGGAGTGTAAACATCTAAAATCACATGTCTTCGATGTTGCAGATAGCGAGCCCGTTATGTTACGATGCCTGACAGATGTGCTTCTCGAGAAGCGGTCTCCTCGAGTAAATCTATTGAAATATGCACCAACACGAACGGTTGGATTCCTCAACGCAGATGACTGACCGATTGTTACCGCTTGTCATCCCTTCATAGGCAGCGTCCCTGCAAAACTTCGCTTTCCAGTCTTTCATTCGGAGCTTTCTCGCCATGAGGGACCCATATCTAAAGGCTACCGCATGACGAAGGCGCAATGGCAGTATTAGTTGAGCGCGCGCGTATCCTCACCGGGGTGAAGGAACGAAAGCCTCCAGTTTGGGCCGCCTTTTGCTGGTCCTGGAACGGCATGCAACAACACTGCGAAAGGACCAGTTGGCCGCGAAAGGCGGCTCAAACTGGCGGCTTTCGTTCCCCTACCCTCCTCACCGTTCTAAATCCTGCGCCTCCTGCGCTCTGCGGCTAATAAAGCCGCGTTCGCGCCCAAAGATATTACGCCTTCGTCATGCAGCAGCCTATAGGCTTTCCAGCGCCTGAAAATGGCGAAAAATGAACATTTTCGAAGCTTTCCAGGCCCGCATTTAGCGAAAATACCCGGAAGTCTTCCGCACCCCGGCTTCCTCGTTCCGGGGCCCGCCCACTTGCACGCATTTTCCATTGAGTGCAGACCTGGAAAACTTTGGAGAAAGCTCATTTTCGCTATTTTCGTGCGCTGAAAAGCCCAGATATAGATTCCTCACAGCGAGAGGGCTCCGAAAATGTGAAAAACTGGAAAGTGAAATTTTGCCTCTAAGGATTTGTAGTACCTTAAGAGGAAAGAAGCAATGAATACACAAAGTACGCTCATCTGTAGGGAAGGGGGGCACTACAAAAATCTAGGATGAAGATGGCATTGACGGACAATGTGTGCAATGACACATATGGTCATATGATATAATTGAACTCATTTTGCGCCTTCTTGGGAAAATTCATCTGCATTAATGAAGTTTAGCTATTTTTCTTGTTTCGATCAATTGTAGCGCCTTTGTGTTTAACACAGTGAACGGCGTTTTCGTGACCCGCTTTGTCTGTGGTTGCGACTCGAGCGCGATATTGGAATTTGAACTTGTTATAAATTGTTCATCATGTTCTGCAGAAGTACGCCGCTTATATATATACCCAACTCTTTGCATATAATCATGATCACTCAAGATGACGTTGGTTTTCGAACACTAACATTTTATGTCTGTTCTGAATATAATACATTTTGTGATGTAATCCTCGCTCTGGAAACACTGTTGCATGGTCTTAAATTGAATATACTGTAAGAGGCTGGTGATGGTCATCAAATCTCCTCTGTAATGTATCCGCTAGCTTTTGCTACGATTTATACGTGTTCGCGACTTATACTTGATTGTTAATTTTTTATCATGATTTTGAGGCTGCGAAGCTGATGGTGAGTACTCGCTCTGGAAGACGGACATCACTTAGATTAGCAAAAGCAATGAGAGAACAGAGCTTTTCATCTTCTCCCCCAGAGCTGTAGGTTATTAAAAGAGTATAAGTCATCTGCCTGCTCCTTTTCAAATTTCATATTGAAATCAATTTTAAATTTCTGCTTTAAGAAAAAAAAACAATATTTGTCATCTGCATGCTTCTTCTCGAATTTCACATTGGAATCAGCTCAAATCTTTCGCTTCAAGAAATTCTTCACCCGGTACACATCGGCTAGACAAAGTTTACGACCTGCCATCACATTCGACGACTGAAGACAGTCACGATGATGTCCCTAAAATGAAGTTGTAAGTATGAAAACAATTTTCCTCTTCTTTTTATGCTAATCATGGGTGAGGCACACAGGCTCACAAGTGGAAAGCGTTCTAGAAGCTCGAAGGTCACATCCAATCCCAACATGCAACAAAAGAGATCACCGTCAAGGTTAGTTGGTTTTTCACCTCTGTCTCCACTATGTTTTCATCTTCGTCTTTCCGTCTTTTCTATCTCAGTCTGTCCTAGACTGAGTCCTCGTGCAAAACAATCTCGCATTGATGTTGGCGACCAAGCGCTTATGCTGCGAGAGGCTCTCGAACTTGCTTTTCCGTCTACACCGTCAAGCAGTTCTACGGTTGTGAAACCACTGAAGAACAGGCAAAGGTATCTGCTTTCGATTTGTTGGAATTTGTTCTCATTTTTGAATCGAATGGTGTTCAAGTTGTCCGACAAGTTTTTTATGTTTGCTGTGGTGTACATTCTCCTTTTATTACCACTCTCATTAGGTGTAAGTCAGAAGATCTGTATATATCACCTAATACGCAGTTTTTCAGAAAGGAAGGAATTGTAAGCGCTGATAGGCCAACAAATAAGGATCCGTCGTCTCCACGAGATGGTGGTAACGTATCTGCGCCAGTAACACCGTCTGTGATTTTAAGGTAGTTCATTCTTCAACCTCTGCTTGCATCAAAATACCCTCAAGGCATCGCCGACGCAGCAACTTCTTCGGTAATGCACTTGTCACAACTAAGTCGAAGGCGAGCACCTCAAGGTTTGTTCAAAAGTGCATACCTTTGTCCTGCTAGGCAATTTCATCTTCAGAAAAATTTGTGCAGTTTTCCAGAGTTGTGGTTTTGAAGGCAGATCATCCGAAGCAAGCATCCATCACACTCCCTGACAAACCATCATCAAAGTAAGTGCAAGCTGTCTTAATTATCTCACATCATGTCATTGCTCTGGTCTAACAAAACTTTTGGGTGTTGTTACAGTGAGAATAGTAAGCAACTTGCTGCAAGTGCTGATAGAATTTCAAACAAGGATTCGCCATCTCCGGAACTGGGCTACGCATCTGCTCCTCCAATGTCGTCTGGGAACTCCAGAAGGTAGTTTAATCTATGTCCCTACCTGAACTGAACGTATTGTTAAGGGGTCGTTCGCAGCGCAGTAAGGCTTTCGATAAGTTAAATGACGCGAATATATTAGAAGAGACCACTACAAAGTATTTTTTAAGTTGCTAAAGAATCTATGGGGGTTTTTTAATGTAAATGTCCATTCAGACAATCTCCTAGAGCTTCACTTCCGAAGCCAAGTAAGTCGAAGCAAACGCCTATGGCACCAAACACACCACCGTCAAGGTAAGTGCAAGTTGTCTTGACTATGAAGTGGCTTTCACGTGGGTTTTTACATCATGTCACTATCGGTAGCGACCATATCGCTTATGACCGTTACGACACACTTTCAAAAATAAGGATTGTTCGGTGTTCAATTTTCGGTAGCAGTTGTCACATATCCTATATTTGAAATGGTGTCCGATCGGACATGGGCATTTCTTTTCGAAGTCAACTTTATGGCTGGAAATGTTTTCAAGAATTTTCTTATTTTTTGTCTAAAATGTCATGTGTGTAGGTCATAATGCCCTGTTTGCCCACAACATGAGTTTACGAAATCAAAAAGTATTTTGCTATGTCATCTAGCTATCTTCGCATTCTTAGAGTGTATTCAATCTCCAGTATTATTAGGGTAAGATGTGATAGACTACCTACTTGAGGAGGGGTTTGGAAATATTCGTCTACTGTAGCATTCTTACCTCTAGATCAGTTCCATTATTTTTTTTGCTGACAGTTCGAATTCAGAAGCTGTATTTTAGGGTGTCCACGCCAAAGAACTTGGCAGAGATTCCTTGTGCATCAACCGAAGTTACAGCGACATTTGCATGTAAGGACCTTGATAGTTGTGAAGCCACTACTAGCCATGGTTCTTTCTCTTCTACATTTCAAGTTTCACCAAAATCGATCAAGAGTAGGTCAGTTTTCTCGCTCATCGCCGTAATTTCATGATTACCTTGTACTTCTTGACGTTTTTGAACTCGTTTTAGCCGAACCGTTCGCTTTTGTAACGAGAGCGCCAACGAAGTCCACATCATACCTGCTGTAAAAACCACGCTTCCCTTTGCCGAACAGATGACGAGGGAAAGAGAAGCGGAGGCAGAAGAATTGCTAAGATTGCAAACAGTAGAAGAGTCAGTGGTTTGAGCAATCAAGGTTTATCTTTTGCGGGCTTTTTAATTTGAAACGTACAGAGTTTTGGATGAAGTCGTTGAAGACGAAAACATTGTACCGAAATGTGGAAGAATTGTTATTGGGAAGCGATATATAGCTGTGGATCGGTTTGTGTAAGTGTGATGCATTCTGAATTAGTTGACCTGATTTTTTCTGATAAAGAATTTTCAGGCGTAGAGACGAGTGCCGTTACCATTTTCTCACTCATGCCCATGTTGACCACTTTGTCACGCTCAGTGTAGGTGCTTTGCTGCTTGTGATTATTGTTAAAATAACACTGCTTTTGCTGTGCACAGTTTCTTTCATCTTACCTTATCATTATCTTTTTCAGAAAACTTGGAAGTTGCCAATTTATTGCTCAGAACTGACAGCAAAAATGATGCCGATCATCTTGGGGTACGCTCAGAGCTCTGCTACATCCCGTTCTACTGTACATCGCAATTAATTGGTTACAGAGCGAAGGCACCATCTAAGAAGCTGTTCCGGCCGTTGAAAGTTGGAGAAACGCATACTATCGAACCAAACCTACATGTGCGTTTTCGCTTCAGCCAACTTCTCTTGAAATGATGCAATCTATCCCTACCCATTCAGGTCACTGTCCTCGAGGCTAACCATTGTATGGGTTCAGTTATGTTCCTCTTCGAAGGTAAGTTCGAGTCTTTCACATCATGCGAATCATTCGCTGCCTTAGGTGCTTCTATTCCTGGAGGAAGTGTCCTATGTACTGGTGATTTTCGAGCTGATGAACAAATGCTAGCTCGTTTTGAATATGACCCGTCGTTTCAAAAGTTGGCTGAGGTAGTTCAGTTTTTTTTGCTTTCGTGATTGCTCAAATTTGTTAGTTGTAGGCTCCCATATCGAAGATCTATCTGGACAACACTAATTTTGACCTTGAAGCCTCAGTTCCGCAACGCTCGGAATCAGTAAAAATGTGTGTTGATTTCATTTGGTCTTATCTTCAGTCTTTCGAATATTTTTGCCTTACAACATTCATAGGTCGCAGAAATCAGTGTTCAACAAATTGATTGCCTGATTATATCATATAGATCGCTTCTAATCTTTGGTACAATATTCTAAAACTTTTATAGGCTCATGGAGGAAATGGATAAGCTGCGGGATTGTTCAATCTTGATTCCACTGTATAACGTAGGAAGAGAAGAAGTATTGGAAAGATTGAGTGAAAATCTCTCTGTAAGTAAGTTTTCTGTATTCATCGTTGAAAAAGAAACATTTTAGGAGCCTATTTCCATAAGCGCTCAACGGCTTGCCATTTTGAAGGCCTGCGATCTGAAACGTAGTGGATTTAGTGACGAAACAGATACAATAGCTCGCATACGAACGTCGCGGAGGCAGCAAAAGTAATTAACTAAATTCGCAGTCTTATACATCTTTACTTGCGATCACTTCAGCCAAGTTTTGTCTGCTTTGAAAAAGATGGCGAAGCCAGTAGCGGTTGTGGACCTCTCGCTTCGTGACGATTACAAGGAGTAAGCTTACGAGCATTTAACTTTGCAACGCTTCTACTTTTATATTCAATGTCGTACATGCGAACTCCTCTTGTTTTCTTGATATATGGCTATTTCAGCGTGATAAAAGAAAATCTTGTGACTATACCGTATTCTGACCATTCCTCGAGGGAAGAAATCCGATCGTTTTTGTCAAGGTACTAATCTTACTCTCACATTCTTTTTTAACACAATCTATGTACCATTCAGGTTACGCTTTGGAGAACTAATTCCTACTGGAGCACCCATGAAAATTTCTTCTGCAGAGGAACTCATGGAGCTGTCACGAGAAAAGTAGGTTTGCTTGGTTTTTGCATGCTTTGCGCGGATAGACAGGTTTTTCCGTAGTAGATAGAAATTGCTTTAGCAGATAGCGCGCAACGTTTGAGGTAAGCATGGCGGATTTAGGATTACCCCTGCAACTGCTGATGATATTCAGACGAACATGGAGTCTCGATCTACTCAACTGGATGAGACGGAAATCTCTACGACTTTACCAGTGTTGAAATGGGACTGGAGTTCTCTAGAGCCTGTGAATACTGATGTCTTTAAGGTGCAGGGGTTGAATCTGCTGGATTTTGCGTCTTGGGTCAACCCAGGAAAGTGCGTGACGCGCAGCATTAGCACGAGCCCAATTAAGGTGAAGATCTTACCTCCTCAAATTTAACTACTGTAAATTGTACAACTTAGCCCTATTTCTCATTTTGCGCTGTGTCATACATTATTTTCTTCATTGCTGCAATTTATTCACTTTGCTCATTGGATTATCCTTTATTCTACAAGACCTCAAGTTATGCATGATATCTAGCATCTATATTCATTTTTGCTGTTCGCTCAACATGTATATGTGTACTTGTTCGATAAAGTATCTGTCGGGAGCTATCTTTTACCACGCTGAATACACATGCATAACTTGGCAAAAAGCGAAAGTTGTGGCAAAACGCATATAAGTAGTATAGTAAACCCCTTCGTCTGAGTACCTACCTACTAGCGCAGTTACCCAAACCTTTTGATATCAAATCGAAAATTTGTTACTAGACTGTATGCGAACGGATTATTCTTATTCGGATAAATCATTCGAATGCGAATGATTCGAAAGTTGAGTATCCGAGAATCCTGTTTCGAGTATTATTCCACAGTCGAATATTCGTGTTCATCTTATATATAAAGCTGAATGTCTGTTTGTCTGTCTGTATGTCTGTCTGTCTGTATGTCTGTCTGTCTGTCTGTATGTCTGTCTGTACGTATGTTCCGAATAGAAAATTCCATTTCTGAACCGATCCGGACCAAACTTGGCACACATACACTACGGGCCCCGGCGGGTGTCATAGGCTACTTTTCGTCATCGATCGATATCGATTTTATCGATTTTTATCGATTTTTTTGCTGAGTTCACCTACGGGGCTGGGAGTTGGCACAGGGGGGTAATCGAGCATGGGGATTCCGAATACAATATTGGTTTCCAGTATTATCGATTACTTTTATCGATTTTATCGATTTTTTTGCAAAGTTTGAGCTACGAGGCTGGGAGTTGGCACAGGGGGTAATCGAGCATGCTGATCATCCCCAAGGGGGGTGATCAGCATGCTCGATTACACCCCTGTGCCAAATTCCAGCCCCCTAGCTCAAATTTTCAAAAAATCGATAAAATCGATAAAAGTAATGGACGATCTTGAAAACTAGTATTGTATTCGTAATCTGCATGCTCGAATACCCCCCTGTGCAAACTCCCAGCCCCGCAGGTCAAACTTTAAAAAAAATCGATAAAATCGATAAAAGTAATCGATAATTCTGAAAACTAATATTGTATTCGGAATCCCCATGCTCACTTCCCCCCCTGTGCCAACTCCTAACCCTGTAGGTGAACTCTGCAAAAAAATCGATAAAATCGGTAAAATCGACATCGATCGATAACGAAAAGTGGACTGTGACACCCGCCGTGGCCCGAAGTGTATGTGTGCCAAGTTTGGTCCGGATACGGCGGAGCCGGGTAAGCCAGCTAGTCGGATATAATTTGAAAGTCGCATATTAAAAAATTTCAATTTTCGAATATTATTCGATAGTCGAATATTCGATGGTCATCAGTTCGATCATTCGATGTCCATCAAATATGCGAATATTGATGAGCACCGAATATTCGGAAATTTGTTATCACAACTTCCCTAGAGTATCTACACACTGTTTGAGCGCTAATACATCTCACGAAATCTTTTGCCAACCTTTGGGTAACATCTTGTGGCTGGCTGAAGGATGGCTTCAGCTCACAAATACAGCAGAAATGTTTTTCTTATTGTCTTATCACGGTAGGAACTGCAGCATGTAGAGCAACTGTGACACAAAACATCCAAAAGAATTTCCTCAAAAAAGATCTAAAGTCTCTGTGGCAGAGTTTCTACGCATGCTGATTTTACTACTCACGAGTTTACAAGGTTTACAAATGTGCAATCATGTTTTAAAAAGCGTTGAAAAATATTAGTAACGGTGTACCCGGCATAAGTTGTGAAAAAGGAAATTCTAACGATAAGTATAGTTAGTGTCCTTAGAGGTCTAATGTAAGACATAAAAGTAGCTTTTTTCGCATAGACTTAACTTTAGGAAAGGGTGCGTACGTCAACCAATAATTCTTGCATCGGAACTGGAGTAAAAATCATCTCACAGTAACCTGCTGATCCTGAAAGGAGAATTTCGAAAAAAATGAACATTTTGTTAAAAGGCCGAAATGATGGTTTTTTCACAAACAGCCGATAGAGAAGCGTTTGTGCATATCTCATAGAGTGCGGATTAAGCCCCCACCCCCTTCTCCCGGAGGTGGAACTGTCACATGGGGGGGGGGGGACGGAACTTAGGAACCCGAACCTAATGGGGGACGGAACTTAGGAACCCGAGCCTACTTAGCTCGATTCCGGGAGTGCCTGCAGGTTACAGTCATGCTCGCTGGCTCCGATTACTCACTAGGACATAGCAACAATCTTAGCCTCGCCCCCATGAGAGCCTGTTTGGAACCTAGCCAAGGAATGCTGAAAATCTTAATTGAATTTCAGGGCTGGCTCTAAGCCAAAAACCTTCAAAGTGATAGTACGAAGGTGAAATTAGGCTCAAACGAAAGAGAAAAACCGTGCCGTCATCATAAATTATCTACTGAATTTAAACTGATTGAACCAACATTTTCTTGGTTCAAAACTTTATTCAAGTGTTAAATTACTGAGAAATTATTCAAAAAACCGTCAAGTTTCAGAAAAAATTTATTTGAGTGCTAAATCCGGGCAAAAGACTAGAATATCATTCGAGAAATGACAGTTTAAAAACTCTCAAGATTGATAGTTATTTAAATACTGAAATTTGGGCGAAAGACTAGAAAATCAGTTGCGAAACGACAATTTAGGACATACTCAAAAATAAAACTTTGTTTGTGTGCGGAAGTCTGGGCAAAAGATTAGAATAACAAGGAATGACAGTTCAGAAACTTCACTAATGATATTCTGAGTCTGTCAACGACAGATGATTCTGATGTGCGAAGAACATCTTGCTAAGATGCTGGAAGCAATGACCTCAGCCTACGCAAGGAAAGGTTGCAATAACAGTTTGAGGCGAAATTTTCCTTGTAAATAGCAGCATAAAGGGTGAAAACCATTTATCAGTATCAGCACTCAAAAAAACTACTATTTCTGAGAAGTTCTTGATTTGTCATTTCTTGATATTCTAGTCTTTTGCCCAGACTTCCGCACACAAACAAAGTTTTATTTTTGAGAATTTCATAAATTATCGTTTCGCAACTGATTTTCTAGTCTTTCGCCTAAATTTCAGCATTTAAATAAATATCAATCTTGGTAAATTTTTGAACTGTCATTTCTCGAATGATATTCTAGTCTTTTGCTAGGATTTAGCACTCAAATAAATTTTTTCAAAAACTTGACGGTTTTTTGAATAATTTCTCAGTAATTTAAATCTTAAATAAAGTTTTGAACCAAGAAAATGTTGGTTCAATCAGTTTAAATTCAGTAGATAATTTATGATGACGGCACGGTTTTTCTCTTTCGTTTGAGCCTAATTTCACCTTCGTACTATCACCTTGAAGGTTTTTGGCTTAGAGCCAGCTCTGAAATTCAATTAAGATTTTCAGCATTCCTTGGCTAGGTTCCAAACAGGCTCTCATGGGGGCGGGGCTAAGATTGTTGCTATGTCCTAGTGAGTAATCGGAGACAGCGAGCATGACTGTAACCTGCAGGCACTCCCCAAATCGAGCTAATTATGCTCGGGTTCCTAAGTTCCCGCACCCGTCACATGGTTCACTGCGGCGTACACGAGTTAGAAGATTGTGTAGGTGACTTGTGCAAGTGACTCAAGTTTCATGTGAAACCAGTATGATTAGAAATGAAACTCTGCTAGATGACACAGATTGGTCTGAATTTAAATCTTATGGGGCGAATATTTGAAAAAAAAACCCAAAATGTTGGGTGAAATAACAGAAATTCTAAGTAACAAATGTACAGTCGGTAGATCTTCCGCTCAATATAGGGTGCTTGCACTGTAGGTGAACTGCGCCTCAAGGAATAGCTACGCCTGCGACGCCTTCCAACTGCGAGCGCAGAATGCCGGCAGTACTGGCATGGTTAGTTGTTTACGCGCAAATTTTACCGCATTTCACCTACAGTGCAAGCACACTATATTGAGCAGAAATTCTACTCGACTGTATAGGGCATTTGCAAGATCGTGGCGTTGGCGCGACCGCACGCGTCACGCACGCTACTTCCGGAAACCGCATTTTCTTGGTCTTTACCTCTAGTCGAATGGTTTTTATGTCTACGTATGAGACAGACACTGGGAATGACTGAGGCGAGCTGAGGTGATGTCTTCTTGTATGAGCGTCTTATGCTGCTGTGGGCGCATCTCCAGTCAAATCCTTCGTCGCGATTTTATCAATGAACTATATATGCTCAGTTTCTAACAACCAGAAAAGAGAATTTCACTTACTGGTAAAGAAAGTGTACGTACGTTTGAGCGGCCAGAGGGAATGAAACCTATAGGTATTCGAAAAATTGTGACGCGAACGCGCGCGACACGCACGCACCTCCCGGCAACCGCATTTTCTTGGTTTCCATCCCTACTCGAATTGTTTTCTGCTTATATATGCCAGAATTTAGATATTGGAAGTGACTGAGCTGAGAGTTGAGATTCTTTCTGTATGAGTGTTTTCTGCTCATGTGTGCGCAAAGGTCGCACTCAAATCCGTCGTCACGATTCCATAAACGACCTATACATGGACGGTTACGGCACAAGATTGCAAAATTGTCTTTCTCATCTTTTGAATCCTTCCCTGTGTTAACGGGCAATTTCTAAAAATCTGATCTGTGTCCAGAATGAAATCGACTGCTGCAACCTATCTAGTTCACTTATATATGAAGTTCGGGGTGGGCAGGTGTCACTAAGCTTTTTCACCGAAAATCGTCAATGAGCGGCATGGATTTATCGGCTTTTAGCGTTGCTTAGCGATTATGGATCAGAATAAATGAAGCTGTCAGAAGTCATTTTTGGTGTTGCAGTTTACCCTGACCCCTTTGAGAATGGCCCGAGCATGAGGAACGTGACGCCGCGAGAGGGGAAGGGGGGGGGGAAGGATTCGAACGGAGTTCTGCTAGACAAATGAAAGCCTTATGCACAGAAATCCAACATCATCCGCCTTCTTTCTCATGTTGGGATCACTAATGTAATCACATTGACAGA